GCTCTTCTTTCTCTCTTAACATGTACTCTTAGCAACAGATATTTATAATTTAAAGCGATAGCGGTAGTTCTCTCTCTCTCGGGCTCTGCGTATGAAAAATGCAAAAACGAAATTTTTAGCACCTACCGGACAACGTCGACATGTTATTTACATGTCTCTCTTTATTCCCGTCGTATCGATTCAAAGTTCATTTATTTATAACCGATTTCGCATATTAACGAATGGTTCGTCGTACGTTCAAATAAGTAATTATAGCGATTTACGTCCGTTGATCAGAAATAGATTATCCAACGTAACTGAAAATGTAATAATCCTCTCTCAGATTGTACTGAATTAATCACCCTATAACGTGCAATTGTGTGTGTGTTGCCTTTCTAAAAAAAGAACATATATGTGAAAAAAGAATATACTAATTATTTCAAATACACATAGACTAAATGTATTAAAGCTAGAGAAGTAGAGATAAAAAAAATGATTATTATTTACATACACACACGTACGCAAATAATGAGTTTGGTAAATTGTGCACCACTAATGATATAAACCTTACACTTAATTCTTCACGACACAGTCTTTTAATTGCATTAGACAAGTTTATATGTATATATTCTCGATAACTTTTAATGAGGTACACTCGCCTACCAAATCTCTCCGGGGACTCAAATACCGCAAATAGTAAAGCTCAAATATAAGCGTGATATTACGGGAATGAGTTATGTATACGCACACTTTTGCTTCGAATGAATATTTTTTGCGAACGCGTATGTATGTGTTCTCGAGCTCGTTAAGTCTAGAATAAAATTTAAGAGGAGAAGTTTAAGTAAAAATTGCTTTCGCACGTACAATTATCGATGTACGATGAAAAATACGTTGTTTGTCAGACACAAGTAAAAATAGTAGAACCGTTGGAACAGTATAACAATCTGATATCTCTCTTTTTTCACGTATAAATACGAGCACGAGAATATCGAGATAGCAGAAAACACGGAATAGCAATTAACCACTATCCTTTCGGATACATGTTTGCAACAAACAAACGCTGGCACATCATATTTTCGTTGCTATTCAATTTCTTTTTTTGCTTTTACTAATAATTAATATAAAACATGTTTGTGCGGAAAAAGAAAAAAATGAAATCTACTCGGATAAATTCGAGAGATTATTAATAAGTGCATCGGTAAACACACAGTCGCTGCAAATATCTTTTCGTAGCCCCCTCTCATGTAAAATACTGTAATTATTTAAAATAATAATGGCATATTCGTGACAATTTTATTTATTATTTGCTTATAAATCAAAATCTTTATTCTGAAGATAATGATTATTAATATCTTGAAAAATATCGTGAGAATTTACACAAGAGAGATATGTAGTTACTTTAACATTTTTCTTTCATTGCTATTAATACACTCGTCTCATAAATCAATAGCAAAGAATGAATCCTTTATTGATAGATATATTTAATGAATAAAATAACAGAAAAAAATAATATATACACATTTTTATTTAACAAGAAGAAGATTACGATATTTCTTTAGTGATTATTCGAGCGAGTCTAAAACTTGGAAAAAAATTACGTGTTACAGTACAAGTTTTTGAGCAAACTCGTTGAAAACCAACGATCGAAGTCGAACTTTCCTATCAAAGTTCTACGTCAACTATAAACTTTTCGTTGTTCCCGATCGCGTATTTGCGATGCATTCGAGCATACAGGTGCATACATGGATGCGTATCATCAATAGAGAGCATAAACTTTGCTTGGGAACAATGATAGAAACGGTAGATTGCATCGTGCTCGTTGGCCCGATAGTTCCAGCATTGATACCTTAAAGTTCACATAATCAAAATGCCTGTATTCCATCAGTGAAATCTATGCTTTACGTTTCATCTATTATAAAATAAAAAACGACGTAATAATAATTCAAAGCTCTCTAACTTCTGTAATCTTGGATATAAAATATAAATACGTAAATAATTTCTCATAATAACAAAGTTTGAATTGCATTTATTAAAATATGTTATTGAATGTAACACGATCTCTCTTTATATATATAGAAAAATATACGCTAAATATAATTAATTTACTTTGACCTAATTTAATCAACATTGTATAAAACTATTACAGGATATAAGTGTGAGATTATTGATCGCATCTCAAAGAATAAAGACTGCTGTTTCCTCGATTTAGACTAAAGATAAAAATGCAGTTACAAAAATCATTACTCGTCAATAATTAGACAAATAATATCTCTTCGCGAAAAAAGTATCGATATGTATCAATATTTACGAAACCGTGTTTGCATCGTATAACGTCGACATAAATAACATATAATAATTTTAGCTTGTATCGCGTCGATTATAGAATCGACGTGGCAACGTGCGCTCCAAGCACGTTATTTTCAGAAAATGAAACTTGTTCGGGATAATATCGTTAAAAACAGAATTCCCGAGCCATACTTTCGATGTGTGGCGCGTTAAGGGAAGCGCTGTATAACTTCTCCGAGAGCATTTGGCGACCTCGCGGTGACCGTACTAACTCGTGATTGATATAATCCCACAATGAATATCTAACATCCAGTGTATAGCCGTTGGTTAATGCAAACCGACGACGTGGATCCGCGCTACGCGGAAACATTGTTGTATTTATTACAATTTATGCGAGTCCTAACGCGGGCAGGTCACGAAGGGACACATTCGTGCCGTGAAATATGGAATCCTGAGATAGAAAGGGCGGGATTAACGGGACGCGAGAGATTCGGTATTTTTTTGCGTCAGAAAATATTTTTCTCGTCGTTTTCAATCATATGCGCGTCGAGATGAATCTGGATGTGCGGCGACGGACAAAAAATCCTTTAATCCTTTTCCGTAAAGTCAACACCAGGCGCGAAATTCTCGTTTTTCGATTTCAATCCATTCTTTTCTACATCGCCCTCCCGATTAAATCAGATTTTACATCCTCCATCACGCATTGATCAATCGAAGCACAGCAACTTGCCTTGTAAGTTGTCGGATATATTAAACCTGATAACACACGGTGACCATTGAACCGCTGTTGAAAAAAAAAAAAAAAACTCTATTTAAGTCGACGCTGTCGATGTAGCATCCCGTGCAAATATCAGTGATATATATTCGTGTATGCACTGACAAACATCGCGACGATGCCTGTTTAGTCTCTATTGCGCGAAGAGTCAACGCGGATCGATAGAGATCGGCAGAGATCAACAGAGTTCAATGTCAGAGAGATAAAACTTTCCTTATCTACAGACTCGAGGGTCGTTTTATACATGAAAAGACGCTTTATTAAAATATATATTTTGTTCTTAGCATTATATTTATACATATATATCGTTTCTTTTTTTTTTGTATTTATCATTTTTGTTATATTTTTACATTTTAAGCCGTATATATATTTTACACGTGGTTTTTTAAGTTACACGTATTAAAAAATTACGATATAGTATACGTGTTTTTTATTTACAAGTAAATGAAGAAAATATAATCTAGATATTGCCTATAATATATTATAATTGTTCGTATAAAATATATTATCATACAAATTATACATATAAATTATGAATTAATTACTTCGATTTGGTATCGCGTACATAATGTATCAGAATTATCAAATGTGGCGTTTAAGCTATAAACTCAATATAATAAAATTAGTGTTGACTTTTAACTAACAACAGTTTCATCAAAAGCCATTATATATTTGACGCAAAGTTTCCAGTTAATAAAAATAAATAGTTCAGCAATTAAATTTTCGTTTTAACGTAAAATTATATCAAAATTAATTGAAAGACGAAGTTCCGTTATATATCTCGAGGCGCTTAAAACGTCAAAACTTTTAGATAGCGTTAAACAGCCCTTAGTAACCGCGCTGATGCGTCATAGAAACAACATCCTGTTTAGTGTTCGTTGTCAAACTATCTAAACTCTAGACGCTTACCATTTTACTCCGTATCTCTCTCTTTCTTGTTTTGACTGTTTCTTTCTCTCTTCGTTTGATTGTGATATCACATATTATACAACTTTCTTCTTAAAAATATCCAGATAGAATTTAAATCTTGAATTAATATCTTGGATGATGCTTAAAGAGTATATTTTCAATTCTATAAAGTATACATATTCTAATCATCGTGTCGTGCTTAAAATATTGCAAGCAACTTTTTAAATTTCAAATATTATATTCGACATTCAAAAGATAAGAAAAGAGCACTTACGTGTAAGCGATTTGAATTGTCATCGCGTTCTTCATTATCGCCGTATATAGTTTCGTTTATTTTCTTCTCTAGCGTTATTCACGATAACTTTCACAAAAACTGTATGATATAATTCATTTCTACGAAATAGATATTTATTATCTTATTTTGTATGACAAATATCTACATAGAAAAGCATTAAAAGAGAGAAACGGTAAAATTTCTTTGCGGTTATTAAGCGATAATCAATATTTAATATTTTTGGATCATAAAGATATTTAAAAAACACGTGCACGCGAATATAAGCGTGTATATTCTGTGCTAGACGTTTTCACCAAATGATTTAATCAAAATGAAAATGTTTTATATATGTGAAAAAAAACAAGTGATTCATATAAATCTAGTGCTGCGGAAAAAAGTAGAGATCGTTCCGCTACTTCCGCTTCTCGATAGTGTCAAGCTAAGCGACATCCAAGATAAACGTTGGAAATTTCTCTGGAACCGTTTACGAAGTTTAAAATAAAAAATTCCACGCGCGATACTTAAATTTTTCCAAGTATCCGAAAAAAATGTCAATTCGATGTTATTCAAGCTGTACATATAAAATTTTCTACATAAAGTTTTGTAAATTATTAGAGATAACGACAAAATTTTTATTCAATATATTAAGATTTACTGAAGTGTTTCTTATATATAATATACATATGAAACACTGCTATTATATTACTCCCTAAGAAGACTAAGAAAAGTCTTCATTTTTTTAAATGGAATCATACGATTTTTTATACAATATATCAATTGCCCTAGTAATCCTGCATATAAAAATATCAAAATTAAATTAATTACGAAAAATCAATAGTTTACGAGGTATTATATAACTTATTCTGATTCTAGGGATCCAGTAGCGATGCCCCATATGTCATAAAGGTCATAACAGGTCTTAATAAATCTTAAGACACCAAGAAAAAGGATTTTTATGTTACCTTAAATATGATTTCCAAGATAAACTTATAACGCTTTATGTGAACTTTGTATTATACTTTGTGTTATATCTAAAATAATCTGAAGTAAATTTAAGCTTCTTTAAATCTGTTAACTTACTAAATGATAGTTTTAATGATGAGTAATCAAGCAACATAATTGTTTTCATCATTTGGATCCCTGATTTTACATGCAAATATAATATAACCAAACAGCAAACTGTACATGTTTTATGATATGATAAGTACAGATTAGAACGGTTATATAAAAAATTTGTAAATAAAAATTATTTGCTGGGATACTCAGCATTATTCAACTAAAATCTACTGAACGATATTGAATTATATGAATCGCTAGTAGCTATGTTAATTAATAGTAAGTACTGATTTAGCACTTTCAATTACTAGTATATAGAAATATCTATTAAAGTAGATAGAAACGGAAGCAAAAAGTTGTTTTTTTAATAAGATTTTAATAAATAAGTTGTCTATCTTAATTAATCTAACGAGATGGCAGTATAGAGGGTGATTCTTAATTCGTGGTACAACTGGCAAAAGACTGATTCTTTATGAGAATATAAATCGAAATTGAATTGAAATTTTTAAATTTTATTTCGCCTGCTTTATAATCTTCATATTATTTTAAATTTCATTTTTTAAATTAAAAAAAATTTTTTTTAGGAAATTTTCAAGAGAAAATATCGTGTTTCATTTTAATTTACATACATCCTATATTAAAGTGCGCACTGTACATTGTAAAAAGAAGAGTAAATAGTGGTCTGTATCGAGATTTGCTCAACGGCGTCTTAGTCAAGCACACGTACTCAACTAATATTTGAAGTCTGTTTTATTAAAACGAAGCGCCATATAAAAAAATTTCATTCTGCAATTTCGACTTATTTTTTCAAGAAGAATCAGCCTCTTGTCGGTTGTACCACGAATTACGGACTACCCTATATATGTATATATGTATCAAAGTGTATTCTAACATATGAATTATACAAAATTATGTTTAAGTATGGCTGAAAAACAGCTATCTTTGTTATTGTTTCGTAAAAATGCTGTATAAGTAAGAGACTGTATAGTAAAAGAAGTAATATATTTGTCAAAAACGATTTTTCGTTAAATATCCTATCCTTTAAAACTCTAATCTGGACGTACAGTCAGGGACAAAATCATTTGAGGGTGACTGTCGTATAAATATAATACAATTAGCTGGTGTTGAAGCGTGATTATCGCAAACTCTTAATATCAGAAACAGTGATTGCTGTATCTTACTATTTCAAAAAAAAGCGATAATTAACAATTATATCAATATCTATAATGTCACAACAAATATGTAATATTACATAAAGCATTAACTCGAAACTTATATAACTGATACATTATATTTATAGATATAATCATGAACGGTACGCAAATCATTCAAAAATACTTTTATAAAAACAAACGTTTAAATTTTGCTAAAAAATATATTAATATATTTCTTTTGTTTTAATAAAAAACTAGTGTGGAATAAAAGAAAATAATAATAGAAAAAGTGAAGAAATAATAGAAAAAGTGAGGTGTTAGAAAAAGAAAATAATTCTAACTATTAATAGAAAAAAAGAAATAAAAAGTTTAAAGAAAATAAAAATTAAAGCACGATGTCAAGGCTGAATTATGATACGAAAATACTTTATTTCAATTTACAATTTGATGAATGAAATCAGTAATATGCTTTGAAGGATATGTATTGATATTATAAATAAAAATTTAGAAGAAATCGAAGGAAATATGTGTATATCGCCTCTAATGATTCCAAAAAAAAAAATAATCAATCTCGATAATACAAACAAATCATATTACTTCAATAATTTTCACGCTATTATAATTTTTATTAAAAAATGAAGAGAAGGATGTGAACGCGGCACACACAACCATTATCGGGCTCTCCAGAACTTAAATTACAGTACGAAGGACCAAGGTACTTTGTAAGGAACAAGAGCGATGCGGCGCATATGTTTCGACATATGGGGAGCAAGGAAACCTATAAAATTTTCCCAAGAGTCGTAAATGAGTCGTAAAGGTCTTGGAGTGGTGAACGCAGATTCTTGACTTGAATACGATGAAAAATCTCGTAGCTCTTAAATAATGAAACTAATTACGACAAAAAGAAGTATGTGTAATATATATGTTTGTGTATATGCGTTCAAATTTTTCTTTTGAAAAATATGGAAAAAGCTATCTTATATTTGATTAATATACGTCGCAGGAAATAGTTGATATCGGAAACCAGACGAGTCACAGTCTCTTGGTGATAAAATGTACACTTTGGAAGGATGTCTATCGAATGGATCCGTCTAACTGACATTCGTTTCGGTACTAAATCACTATTTTTTATCACCAAGAAAAATTTCGACAAACCGCTTTTACAGATCATCTCTCTTTTTCCCTCAGCCGGGGGTAAGCGTCTCTTTATCTCCCACGTATCGTGGGGTCCGAACACATGTGTATGAAAATGGACCGATATGCATAGGATAGGATTTGTGAACGCAAGCGAGTGGGGAGCGGCGAGAGCATAAAAGCAGGGACGTAGAAAAGCGCGGACGCTTTTGTCGTGTTCGCCCGTGGCCGCCGATCGTGTCACCACTGATTGTGCGAGAAAGTAGTGCTAAAAGCAATAGTTTGCGATACTCGGGCAAAGGAAGCCATGGGGCTCGCGAGGACGGCCGTCTTCGCCGGCTGCCTCCTCTTCCTGGCGGTCGACGCCTTAGGCAGTGAGTAAAGCACCATCATCGCTTTCATCCCTTTCTGCAAAGTACTCTGTGTTTTAATTTATCTTCTAAGGAAGATGTGTAAACGGCCGTTGCAAACCGTTCGCTCTTTTCTCTATTCTTAGATAATTACAAAAGTATGAAAATTACGGGATCAAAGCAGTCCGATTCATTTATCTGAACGGAAAATTTGCCTAGAATAGATCTCTAGAGAGCTAGATAAATATATCGAAGAAAATCCTTATATATATATACATATTATAATACACAGGAAGATTTTTAGATTTTACTAACAAAAAAATGCAAAGTCCTTAGTACTAGTATTGGAACTTTCATACTTCTATATACCGATACGAAAGAGAAATAAGAATAATTAAATGTCGTTCCAAATCAAGAAAAAGAAAGCATTTGTTTCTTACAAAGCGCTTCCGAAGCCTTGATTTTCAAGATAATTAATTTGTACTTATTAAAGATAAAAATTTAAAAATTTATCTTCTAAGGAAGATGTAAACGGCCGTTGCAAACCGTTCGCTCTTTTCTCTATTCTTAGATAATTACAAAAGTATGAAAATTACGGGATCAAAGCAGTCCCATTCATTTATCTGAACGGAAAATTTGCCTAGAATAGATCTCTAGAGAGCTAGATAAATATATCGAAGAAAATCCTTATATATATATACATATTATAATACACAGGAAGATTTTTAGATTTTACTAACAAAAAAATGCAAAGTCCTTAGTACTAGTATTGGAACTTTCATACTTCTATATACCGATACGAAAGAGAAATAAGAATAATTAAATGTCGTTCCAAATCAAGAAAAAGAAAGCATTTGTTTCTTACAAAGCGCTTCCGAAGCCTTGATTTTCAAGATAATTAATTTGTACTTATTAAAGATAAAAATTTAAAAAACTATTACGGAACACTTGATGCAACATTTTAAAAAAATGCACGATTATTTTAATGAAAAATAGTACCGCAAGCTTTTATTTTACTCTAATATTAATTTTTTCTCATGTGTAGAATATTGTCGGCACATTATTTTTACAATTATTATTTTAGCTATAGTTTATGTTATCATAACGTAATTGTAGTTGAATTTTTAATATTATTAAGAAAACTGATAAAAAGTTGCATTTACGATAAATGTGTTCCGATACGCGTATATAAAGATTTAAATCATGTTTATGTAGATCTTTCGAGAAGGATGGCCGGATGGATTTCCATGAGTTTTAATTTTTCTATCAAGTTAAAGATTAATACGCGAATTGATAGAAAAGGTCAACGCGCTCAGCGCGGTCAGGTTTGAATATCATAAGGTTATTCGCTGTGTCAAGGATAAAGATTATCTTCGCAAATGGATGTTGAAATTGATGATATTTTCGTGAAAGCGATAGGATCCCGAGAGATTCGCGGAACTTTACCGCGATTATTGCACTTGGCATGATTAGCGTGATAAACTAAAAATATCGAAACGTTTCTTTCTCGCAATACTGGAATTAAGTCGCGGTTTATGAAAAATGATCTTCGACATAGCCGTGTATATCTTAGAGAGATTCGTAATTCTTAATCTCCTTCATAATAACGAGGAAAACTTGTTGATTTCCTTTAAGAATCTTTCGTATCCTTACGTTTCTTTTTTGTCACCTTTGCTCCAGCAGTGATAATTTATTTATCGATATAAGATTTATCTTATATCTTATTGATATAACGTTTCCGTTATATGTGTTATTTTCTCTATTCTTTTACATGTTATTCTAGAATTTAATTAATCAAAGTTGTAACTCTTTTCGTTTACTTATTTTATGTTAAACAAAGTATAAAACTTTTTATTGGCGTACGTTGGCGTTTAATACTTTCTTGTTACTAGAAGAAGTTTAAAGAAAATTGTTTTTTGATTAAATTATGCTGGACTAATGGAAGAAAATGTCGGATATTAAGTAGTTTTTTTATTAACAAAATAGAGTAAAAGAATGTTTAAGATTAAACTGTTTTCTTAACAAACAAACAAAAAAATTATATATATAGATTAAGAGTTATTGATATATACATGTAGAAAATTATTGGATACAGGAAAACATCAGTTTTTGAATTTTTCACAAAACTGCGAATGTATGAAAGAGTGATGAATAACGTTAAAAAATCTAGTTACACTTCTATCAAATTGTAAACATGTAGGCGCGCCTACATGTGATTTGCAAATTTCCAAATCACGTTTGAATAAACAAATGTACGAATCATTGAGTAATTAAAAATACTATTGTGTGGCAGAGAGTTGGCGATAAAAAATTGTTTATTTTGTAATTACAATCGAAAAAGCCGATTTTATGTTTTTGCTCTTAAACGCGATAAGATTAGATCTTAAACGTGAGAAATCCTTTACTGTTATCTACGTTTCTCTGATAACGTACGTACCTTATAATTTTGGTCTTTGTTTTATACAAGTCAACGCTTTGTTTAAATTAATCACGAATAATCGAGTGCATAATTAGCACAGCTTAATACATACGGATTAAAATAACCATTAGAACGTATAACAGTCGCTGTTATGATTTTTTTATAAAATATGTTAGATAGATAGTACGCAAGAATACTAACTCATATTCTCGCATACGTAATATAAAATTACAGGAATCGTTTGGATCCATTTCTTCCATTCTCTCATGCGAGTAAATTATCAACGAGGGGAGCCAAATTTAAAAAATAATAAGATTTATTAACCGATAACATTTGCGAGAGATAAAAGGAAATGTATGAGATTATTCTCCTGAAAAATAGAGCAATTCGTAAAAAACTGTAACTGTAGGTGGAATTCAACGTGGTAAATGCGGAGTTTTCTTGCACGTTCTAAAAGTAACAAATAGTGGTTTGAAGAGTTCGAGTATGGCGTATCGGTGGTCGGAACGAGGTCCGTATCATTGAAACGATTATAGGTCCCCCGTGTTTGACCGGACATTTGGTAAATTGATCTGACGTCCCTACATCCCAGTGAAATAGATCCGATCTGGCCGTTGCGACGTAACAAACGTTCTTTCACCGCCGCGTTTTAAAAGGGAACATATGAAACCATCGTTTCACATCGTTGGCCGCGGTTTATACGAGCAAAATAGAATAGAATACGATTACAATCGTCGCGTTTTCTATTGGCGACACGTTTTTTCCAATTGCCTCGCAGCTGTGACCGTCGTAATACCGCCGGAAAATAGAAACAATACCGAGAGAAAGAGAAAAAGAGAGAAAGAGAGATGGATGGACCTTTTCATATAAATATCTTTCTTTAAGCGTAACATCTCTCGTTATATCGAGTCACTCAATGGCTATTGACGATGCATTAAAAATTCTGCGATAAATAATTACAATGGCGCAGTTGTATGCGAGAAATGGAAGCGCGATTGTCGGGTTAAAAATACGAGCGGACAATACGGGATCATCGAGGAGAAAGATCGACGTTTAAACGCGACGCATGAAATAACGCGAGAAAGATACGGCGTCCCTGAGCATATGAAATATGAAAGTGTATGCTTTGTCGTACGCGCGCGCTGTGAATTTGCATAATGCACGCGTTTAAGTAATACAACGAGAGCAAAGCACCCCTAATCGCGCGTCGCGCACGTCAAGGGGACGAGCAACGCGATAAATTACAGTTGCAATTGCGTTAGATTACAGCAAAATCCCGGCGAGATTCTCTAAACGTACTGTAGTTTTCATGATGCATCCATCTGTTGATGTTACATTATTCAGTTGACGAGGTAACGTCTAAAGAGAGTCGCAATTACATATTTAATCCACAAATTATATTCTAAGTATTCTACTTATATTCCTCTCTGTGTAAATTTAAGTTGATTCTCTCTCTTAACGAAAAATTGAAATATAAATATTTTTTTAAATTTTCGACATTAAATATTCTACGCCAAATTAAAAAAAATTTTAGTAAAACTTGGCTGAAATAAAGTCCATTTGATTGTGAGTTTAAACGAAAAATATAAGATTTTGTTTTTTACCTGTATCTATAAATATAAATATTGCTTTCTATAGATATCTCGATTGTCGCTAAGGAAAACTCGTTTACAAATTGATCAAAGGTTTCGCAGATAACAGTCTTTATACAGAAGGCGGAAAATAGAAAGCAATCTTATGAAATAAAAGTTCTAATACAAGTTTAAAGGAATATCTTCGTCGTTCATGCGTTCCGTGAAGTCAAACAGATGAAATTCCGGCTATGGTGACCAGGTAATAACAAAGAGAATTCGCTGAAGGAATATTTCAACGAACTCGCAGATTGCCGTTAAAGTGAGGACAATCAAGAGCAGAGAAATTGATCGCCGGGGTTCGCGGTATCATTGCACAGAAACAATGTATACCTTCATCGGATAGATTCGCCCTTCTTTTGGTCTATTCTCGAGACCAACACTCCCACTCTTCCCCTCCCTCCCCCCTTCTCTTTTCACACGCGTTGTTCTTTATCTCTTTGTTATCCCTTTGTCCCCATTGAAGGAACGCTTCCCCCTTCTCTTGTATCTCATCTAGCTCTCTTTCTCTTCATTTATTCGGTCACTCTGTCATTCCACCCCTCTGTTTATTTTCTTTTACATCGCCTAAATAAAGCACAGCCTGCATATTCTTATTCGTCGTATCTTATATTATTTTTCTAGAAAAAAATATATCATTTGTTCTATTCATTTGCGTAAAAAAAATTATATTATGCCCTGTTTGAAACAACGGCAATGGAAGATTTCTAGCTAGGAATATCTCTCTATATTCACATAGTAACCACGTGTAAATTGGAAAGATTAGATTTAACTGTTTCCATTATACTAATCGCTTCGACGGAAAACATTATCATATATCTCCTAAATACACACACATACATACATGCGTGCACATTTATAAGTCGCTTCAATTTTGCATTTCAATTTTTGTTTTCTATTGTTTGCATCTTCTCTTGTCCGCCTTTTCTGAGAAAAGATAATCTTTATCAAGTGTGCCGAGATGCAATTAATTACTTTGTCGTCGAGTAAATAATTATGCAACTGATACATAAGTGCAAAGTACAAATTTTGATATTCGCTTGTTTTTTGTTCCAATAATTGTATTGACGTAATGCTGAATAGTCGACTCGCATTCTGCCGTTAACGAGATTTATATTTATGAATTTATTTTTTCCTCAGTAAATAGCGCTTATGTGTTTAACGATACGTTAGAAATGCGCAAGGAAAAAATCGAATAGATTTGATTTTGTTAACTTGCCTAATAGAAAAAAAGAAATATGTCGAAAAGTAAAACTCTACAATTTAAAAGCAACAAATTTAACAACGAATAAAACGATCATATATTGGCGTTCAATATTAGTTTAAAAAGATGAATTTATTTATATACAGAAAAACAAAATTCGATATATATTTTTAATTAAATTAGAATTTATTTATTTTTTTTTTATATTGAGATTTTTATTATATATGCGAAATAGATATATATTTTATATAGTAAAATTGATATTGATGTTTTCGTGGTGTATATATAGTTGCAGTTTGTGAACTTTAAACTTCCGTTGTAACTTGATGATATTTGTTATTTTTTTATAATATTGACCCAATATCCGGTCTTTTATCTTAAAAGTAAACTAATACAAAAACTAGATTACTAATAAAATGTTAATCGACTTTTAATATATAATATAAACCATCTTATTTAAAACGTAATCAAAATTTTCTAAAAAAATAAAAAAAGCTTTCTATACATGCTGAATCAATAATTATATTTATCTACAGTCATGTCTTTCATCGTGTTTACTCAGCGTGTTTACTCTCGTCTATGAATTTTGCTATCAATGCTATTTTTTTGAATGTCAGCAAGATAAAGTGAAATGAGAGATAAGAACTTACGCTAAACGTACAAATACCAATATCAAATTTTTTAAGAATATTCTTTATGTAATGTATAATTAATTTCATATATGTTAGCAATATGTAATGTAATTAATTTAATATATAATTGGAATATTTTATTTAAAATTTATACATAATGCAATATGTGTATAATGTAATTAATTTAATATAATTGGAATATTGCGTGTAAAATTTATAAAATTAGCGTTTGAAGAATATTTAATGTCAAATGTATATATAAAAGTCAAGCGCAACGTAATGAGAGCAACGTAATAAATAACCTTTGTACGATTTAAAACGCATACAAATTTAAAAAATTTGGTTTGGACTAAAAAGAGTATATGGCACAAATATCAAATTATTGCAAACACTGCAATTGATTAGTACGTTCCCTTTTATAGCCCGAAAAGTCACTGCGATTTTATTCGAATCAATTTAAATGTTAAAGGGTGAAACTATTGTGGTATAAACCATTATAAATCGCATTCGGGGCTTGCGCGGGTTCCGACACACTCTATCGAACAGAAATGGAAGTTCCATGGTCCAGGGTCAAGAAAGTCATGATTAACGGCACGTTATCAGTGCTCGACCCTAGCATCGAGTTCACTCCGATGCACAAATATATTTTTTTCTTGAAACAATCTGCGTCAAGCATAATAAATTATAACCACTTGTCTGTCTCCCCGCTCGAATCCGTATTTCGATGAAATCTGAAAATTAAAGTAATGTTATATATGAAAAATATTTTATTCATTTCTTTCTCAACAAAGATTTGTGAACGCACTTGCCCCGAATATTTTTCGTATATACTCTGTCTTTGTCATTTGCTTTATTACACATTTCGGATTATACATATGTGAAGAGAAGGAAAAAATAATTCATAACATTTCCTGTCTTTGTTTTTTTTTTTTTTTATTATTTGCTGTTAATTTAATAATTAATACAATTAATATTAGAAATATATACATCTTTATAGCTAAATATTGACATATGATTATTTTCTTGTTATAGATAAATGTACAGTCGGCTGCCATGGATGTAAGTATATTTATAAATCATACTATAAAAAATGTGTCTCTAATTTGTCGTAATTATTTTGAAAAATTTTTATTGAAAATAAGAAATTAGTATCCTTTTACATTTAGTGTCATTTATGATTTCATTGTAGATTTAATTTTATGTTTTCTCTTACAATCTTTTCCAGTACAAGGAGGTAAAGCATATCAGGAAGGACACACATATATATATGATTTAGAAGGAACGTCCGTAACGTCGGTCCCCGATTCTCAGGGTGACGCTACCTTAAAACTGAAAGGTACCGTTGAATTGTCAGTAAAACCTGACTGCATTCGGCAAATCCGATTGAAGGGCGTACAAATCAATGGAGCCGTAAGTGTTCTACATTTGATTTCTGTATCGCGCATTTCCAAATAAAAGAAAAAGATTAATAAATATATGAGAGAGGAAAGTAGAAATATAGGAAATAGGGCAGAATATGAGACTCGAATATGTAATTTCGACTTTTAATTCAACCTTCTGAATAAACTATGTTTGTATATTAAAAACTTTTAATTGTGGAACTGTTTTTGCACGCGCGTGTAATTAAAATTGATGTACAATAGTTTATGTTTATATCAATGGAAATGCAGTGAATAAAGTTTCTTGTTATCTGTAGACATTTCATATCATAGACTAATTTTCATATAATAAATACTTCATATTTTTAATTTCCTTTTTATTTAAATTCTGTGAAAAGTATTATCTTCTGTGCTATAAATGCGTACGGTAGATAACATTGGTTTACAGAAATACTAGAGGTATAAATATGTAAAAATATAAACACCATTTATTTTCTAGCCAATATCACTGCCAGATGTTGAAAAGCACGCGCTACAATTCAACTATCACGATGGCCACATCGACACGCAGGTTTGTGCCGAGGCTGGTGACTCGCAGGCATCTCTCAACATCAAGAGAGCTGTCACCTCTCTCTTCCAGTCGGCCGTCATTCAAGATTCTGGCTCTACAACTCATCACGAGGTATACAAGTCAACTGTCTTAATTCGTCTTTTTTTAATTTTTCAGTAGAGAGAACTACCTCGATATAATGCATTCTTGCTGTTTGTCAAACTTTCAGTTCGATGTGTTTGGCGGCTGTCCGACTGACTTCACCTTCCACAAAGACGGCGAGTCGTTGGTCATTCAGAAGGAGAGAAACCTGGTCCGTTGCTCTCATCGCGAGAACATCAGGGAAGGACCTGTGTCCGCGATCTACGATTCAAAATCCGACATTCAATCGGTCCCGTTGCTATCATCGCACCAGAAGATCGAGCAACGCTTCAAACGCGGTATCCTGAACAAGGCGACCTCGGTCGAGACCTACAAACTCAAGCCATGGAGTAACGGTGACATCAATGCCAAGACGGTCGTGCAAACCACGCTTACCCTCAAGGACGAAAAGGGCGATAGTCCGAACGCTCCCGTTACCCAGCCGAAATCTCTCATTTTTGAAGCGCCGCATCCCGTCATCAAGTCGTCCGCCGACGCTATTGCCACAGCCCTGAAGATGGCAAGTTCCGAGGAACATGACGGTGTGAAACAGGACGCGGCGGAGAAATTCGCCGAGCTCGTTCGGGTCCTCCGTCTTAGTAACAAGAATGACATTCTCGCCGTTTATCAGAAGGTGAAGGCCGGCGCCGGTTTTGACAAAGTCCTGGACAAGAAGATTTTACTGGATGCCCTCTTCCGTACCGGAAGCGGTGAGGCTGCCGAGATGGTCACCGATCTGTTGAAGAATCACGAGCTCACCGGCGTTCAGGCTCTCGTCTTTTACGCGAGTCTCGCTCTCATCAATCATGTAAATTTACCATCAGTGACCGTCGTCACGTCTTTACTCGATCAGCCGGACCTACCGCGTCTCGGTTACCTCGGAATCGGTCAAGTGATCGGCAAGTATTGTCAGGAGCACGCCTGCGATAACGTAGCCGAAATTAAACAAGCTATCCAGAAGATTCGCGAGAAGGTCGGCAACGGAAAGGCAAAGACCAGGGAACAGGAGAATCTCATAGTCTCGGCCCTGAAGGCGCTGGGTAATGTCCAGTATCTCGATGACGCTAGTATGCAGAAACTGGCTAGCATCGCCGAGGACAAGAACGTTCGCAATCGCGTCAGGGTAGCCGCGATCGAGGCTTTGCCAGCACGCTGTTCTATGAAGTGGAAAAACATTCTTTTGAAGGTTCTGGCTGATCGCGAAGAGGACAGCGAGATCAGAATAAAAACTTACCTTTCGCTAGTCGCCTGTGTTTGCCCACATGTTGCCAACAGTATCAAGGAAACGTTAGATAAAGAAACAGTCTATCAAGTCGGATCTTTCATTCAGAGTCACTTGCGGAATCTGCGAGCCTCCGCCGATCCAAGCAAAGCCGAAGCGAAGAGACAACTCGGTCTAATTAAGCCGCGAACCAAATTCCCGGAAGACTTCCGCAAGTTCTCCTTCAACAATGAACTATCGTACAATGTCGGCGGTCTCGGAGTTGGCTCTTCCGTGGAGAGTAACGTCATCTACAGCCAGGACAGCTTTGTACCGCGCTCGTTGAATCTAAATCTGACCACTGAGATATTCGGCAGATCTTTCAATTTCTTGGAGCTCAATACGCGTATCGAGAACCTTGATAGATTGGTCGAGCATTACTTCGGGCCTAAAGGTCGTTTGACGCAGGACGAGGTAGAGGACTTGGTGGATAAGGGAACGGATAAGGTCGAGAATATTGCACAGTATATTAAGAAGAAAGTCAACAAGTTGCGCTCTAAGCGTGAGGTCAAGCAGGGAGAACTCGACAAATTTGCCAAAAGTGTCAAATTAAGAAACAACGAGGTGGATCAGCAGCTTGACCTAGATCTATCAGTCAAACTATTCGGTGTTGAATTGGCATATCTAACTTACAATGGAAATCCCGCGCAGTTATCGCCGGAGAATATCATTGATAAGATATTCGATGACGTTGAGGTAGGATTCGACAAGGTGAAGAAATTTGATTACAACTTGCAGAATCGCATGCAGTTCCTGGACGCGGAGCTCATCTATCCGACAAATCTTGGTACGGCGCTTTCTGTGGGCGTGATCGGCACCAGCGTAGTCCATTTGAAGGCATACGGCAGATTAGACATCCCGGCAATGATAAAGAACCCGCAGAAAACCGACGTGTTCATCGGTTTTGAACCTGGAGCTTCCATTCGGATCGCTGGTAGCATGGTCGTTAAAGGATTTGATGTAGAGTCCGGCATGAAGCTTGTCACTACATTGCATTCCGATACGGCGGCTGATTTGACAGTGAAGATATTAGACGGCAAGGGTATTGACATAAAAATCGGCGCGCCGAAAAGAAAGGAGGTGCCCATAAGCGTGAGCAGCGAGATCCTGCTGAGCACCGGATCGAAAGGCGATACATACAAGGCTCCCAAGTTCGGCAAGGGCAAGGTATACAAGGATTGCTTCGAACAATTCTCCACTGCTGTGGGCATAACAGTTTGCGGACATCTGGAATTCCCGTATGATGGCATCGAGTCGGTGAACAAGAGAGCCTTTTTCCCCCTAAACGGACCGTTCAAATATAGCATTAGCAATGAGAACAACGATCTAACAAGCATCCATCTCAAGATCTATCACGACAAGACACCAAAGTCTCGATTATTCGAGATTTTGTTAGACACACCTAACAGCAAAACTAACAGACGCATATCTCTGACCGGCGAAGTCGTCCTCGAGCCTAACAAAGTCGCCAAATTATCATTCAATTCTCCTATAAAGAAGGCCTCCGTTGAAACGGTATTGAAATCCAATCCTCAGGAACACACATTCACAATCACTGTGCAAAACGATAACCATGAGTACTTTGCGCGCGCCGGCCTCTTGGCTGACGGTACCAAATACAAGCCCGTATTGGAGTACAAAGTGCCGGAGCATATCGAAAAACTAGCAGGCACCAAGTTCGGAACGAAAACGTCAACAAGCCGTCAACAATACAATGTGCAGGGTAGTGTGGAGCTGATCGATGAAAATGACGCGAAGAAATACGTGTTCAACAAGGTAGCCCTGGTCGCGGACGGCGAGAGCCTCGTCGGTCTCGACGGATATGTTCAATCCGGCAAAAACGCCATCGCCCTGGATATAAAGACAAGTTATAGCGACGAGTCAGTCGCCCTGAAATTGCACGGGAAAAAGCTGGGAGAACGTCATTATTCGTTCGGCCTATCAGCATTGCCATCTAGAGATCCCAATATAGCTTTTGATATCAACTGGGAATTGCGTAAAGGTGACTACGATTTCGAGAATAATCTGGTCTTCGTCCACGGCCCGGATCCGAAATCCGAGATCAATCGTTTCACTCTCAAGCAGTACATTGTTACCAATTTGAACCAGGGAAGCGCGAATTTTGTCCTGGGCGGATCTAGCAAAATCTCATATCCCGCTGCGAAACTGAAACTGTATCTCGAAGGTAAACTCACATCTGTTTCCATCGATGGCGACATCGAAATCACGTATGACAAGTTTAAATTTGGCTCGGAGCTATCCGCCAAGCGAAACACAGATAAGCCGGGCGATTATGAGATCGAATTCGAGGCCGAACTGCTACAAAACAGCATCAAACTGGAATCGAAACGTACGATCGTCAATCCGCACAAGAGCAAGTATCAGAACAAGATCGAGCTAACGCCGGGTGGCAAGTACGAGGCCGAGGCGCTGGTGACATTTGATCAGGACAACAATCATGTAAACGTAGAGGTGGACGGCGATCTGGATCTGAACGGCAAGAAGGTAAAGGCATTCGGCAGTCTAAACACTGAGCGTCCCGGTAACGTCCAGTCTCAAGCATACGTCACCGTCAACGATGTCAAGTACGTCGACTTCGTGCTTAAGCTGCTGCGACAGGGCACGTATCCGCAGGGTAATTTGTCCCTGAACATAAAAAACTATCTAAATGTCGCGGGACAGATTACGGTACAGAATGACAAGGGTAAGGCACAGCTCAATATCGATCTGCCAAAGATCAATCGAAAGATTAAAGGAACTAGCGAATTCGTGATAAGCGGCACGCAGCACAACGCCGACATCGAGATTCTGCTCGACGCGGAAAAGGACCCGAGCAAGCGTATCAAACTGTCCACTGTGAACGACGTAAAGAAGAATGCCGTCGACTCGAAGAACGTGATCGAAGTACTGAATCACAAGCTCGAGGTGAATGGCAAGGGCAAGCTGGACGGCACGTTCAACGAGGGCGAGCTGATCATCGACGCGGACATCACTTTGCCGAACGGTCATTACATGGTTTACAAAGCTAAACGCACGTCTACCAAGAAGAACGACAAGCACAACATCCACGTGACCGCCGAGCTAGAGGTCCATGAGACTAAGGGCGGCAAATCGCAAAAATATATGTACATCATCGACGCAACCGATATCGACTACAAGACGTCCACATTCCAGTTGAACGAGCAAGTGACGGCCACCGACTTCGACGGCAACAAAAAACAGTTCGATGCCAATATAAAGAACCTTGCCGATGTCGATGGTTATAAGAGATTGTACGAGATCATTCTGGCTACGTCAGCAACACATTCGGATAATGCGATGGTGCCGAGGCCGTTTAATCTACAATACAAGACTGGCGTGCGCGATAACGGTGAAGTGATATACCAAGTCGCTTCCTCTTTGAGCAAGGACATTCAGGCGAAGGTAAGCAAAGTAACTCGTTAAATATCTTGAGATTACGTAACACGTAAGACGCATATCTATAAAGTAGCAATGCGTAAATTTATCATTTGCAGAGTTCTGGAAACTACGTTCCCGGCAACAACGTTGACAAGCCTTGTACGCTCAACGGCAATCTGGAGCTGGTATTGCCATTCGAAGGTCTGTACTATGTCAATCTCGATTTAAAGAACAGCTTGCTGAGTCAATCCGAAGAAGAAGGCGGTAAGCTCGAATTGGAAGGATCATCGACGCTCACTTACAACAAGGATAAATCGGTCAAGGTCGCTGGCGCTCTCAAGACGTCCGGGATCAATGACGGCGAGCATCCTTACGAGAGCGATCTTAAGGTCGATCTGACGGTTCTCCAGATACCGCCTTTCACCTACCAAGAGTACTTCAAGTATGTGCCTAACAACGACAAAGTGACAATCACCACTAATACGATTGTCAAGTACGGTCAAAAAGAATTGACCCTCGCGATCGATTCCCTCACGTACGATCGCGATCTCACGCATGTCGATATAAAGGCCAAGGCTACCACCCCGTACGAGAAGCTGCGTCAGATCGATCTTGAACTCAAGCACGAGGTAAAGTTTATAACATTATTAATTTTTCTTTTGTAAAAGCACATTGTCTTTCGCACGTTTCGCTGATTTCGATTTGTTGAGCGAATTCTTTACATTAACCTAGCTAGATATCACCGTTGATACCCCGTTACGTCATTTACGATAATTTATTTCTTTACTACGACAGCATGCGGTTTAGAAAAGATAAAGTTTACAGTGATCAACGAGATTGCTGCGAGGGTGGCACTATCTATTCATTATATGCGCATCTAATACCTTTTTTATTTATTTTTGAAGAGAGAAAAGGACGGACACGTAAGGAAGACCGATGTGGTCGTCACTGCCGACAATATAAAGTACACAGCCAAGAGTGAAATTCAAGACGGCAACGTCTCTCCGATTATCCATATAGTTCTCACTTGTCCAAAGGGAAAGACTGAATTACTCTCGAAATTCGAGAAGCTTGGCGACCGAGAATACACGGGTAATTTTAGTCGAATTTAAGCGAAATTCTTTTAAAAACGTACAATATAATACAATAGCAAAAAAGTAATGGAAATTTCAGATAAATGTGTTTTTTAAATTCATAGTGTCTGCAACGTCGATAAAATAAATTTGGATTATGCAGAAAGTTAAAATATTACAAAGTGACATAATTTTCGACATCTTTATTTAAAAAATATTAATATTTTTCCCTTTATTAGAAAAGTAAGAACTTCCTCTTTATTTGTTTCTTTGAATAAACATTCTTATCGAATTCCTCGCGTTTGGTTTTAGGCGAATGGAAAGTCGAGACACCATACGGCTTCGCCGTTGCCGATGCGCACATCAACCTGGAGAGCATCGAGAATTTTGTCATCAACGTTAATCTGGACAGCGACAAACTCAAGCATCGTAAAATTCACGCCGAGATCGCCAACAGTCCCACCGCTAAGACTGGCAGAAAGATAATCATCGTCGTCACCAGCGACGGCAAGAATATCGTCACCGGAAGGTAAATATGTAATAGCTTGTCGCGTAAAACGATGTCCCTAAATATAGTATATCCGAACGTTGATAATGGTTAATGATTATTTGGATGAAGAAGAAATTTATTCGAAGAACAAAAAGGTAAAGTTATACAGGTCGCGTGGAATGTAGGAAGTCTACGATTCGTTTTTCTCGATATTCTCGACTTCCATTAGCGATCTTGTACATTCCATCGCGCTTCTGTCGAGGAGAATCGATATTCCCGACGTAATTCTAAACGATGTTCTCTAACGACGCGCGAGATATGGATACACCTCTTGCGCGTATATAAAAGAAGTAAAAGATCGATCGCCTACGCGGTGACAAAACAAAGAGTAAAGATGTCCTCCTGTAATTAACGAAAGGGCACGAGGTCATTTTCAAAGGAGATCACAGATACGGTAGAATACGTATCTCCTTTCGTCGTTCCACCTCGTTCTGTGTAATTTCACATCGATTCATCCGCTAAAATTAATTCAAGCAGTTTCCGAGAATACCTTTCAACTGTGCACCAGCCCTTTTTATTCGTCTCATCGAGAACACCCCGATCGAATCGCAAAACGTTGAAAGAGGCTAACAGTTGAACGGTTCTGGTCAGAAATCCAGAATGCCATCGATCGTATGGCATAAAAAATATTATAAACATTTCATCACATATCTATAATAAAAATATCGATATATCATTCAATATTAAATATAAAAAAAAGATAGAAATTGCATGCAGCATTTAACGTTCCATGTTTGACATTGCTAGGATACGCATTAGTAATAATAATGACAATTTATTCTGTGTTCTCTGAAATATTCCCTCTAAGAACAAAACTATCATAAGTAAAGAAATTTTGAAAAATATTGTAACAAAAGACATAAGATAATAATACGTAAATAAGAAAGAGAGAAGAGTAAATAGCATATCTGACGTAAGATTACAATTTATTCGTAGCACAAATTACAAGAAACGCGACGAAGGTGGCAAGATCATCGTCGAAGGGAACGGCAACCTCAAGATAGGCGAGAACACGAGGAGCTCGTCCTTCAAGTATACTCGCCAGCAATTGACTCGCGAAAAGGACGGCGAGGTCGGCGTTATAATCGTTTTGAACGCCAAGTTCGATCCGGCGGCTATCGTAGGCGAGCTGAAACTCTCGAATAAGGAAATCCTCGTCTCCAACAGCTACTGCGAGCAGAGCAAGGACTGCGCTCACTTCAAGCTTCAATCGAGCTACGATACTGATAGTAAGTCACATTTTGACCGACAAATCAATTATATATATATATATATATATCTTTTACAAAAAAATAGATATATATACATGATCATCCTTAAAACAATCTTTACCGAACGGAATGGAGTTTAGGTTTTTTGCAAGCAAGTATCTCATTCCTTCGTGTCCTCTTTTCACTTGTTTTTAAATATGCATGTTGCAACATTGACAACATTTTTCTTTTTTTTCCTTTTCTTATGTTTTCTTCGACTGTTTAAAATTGAAAAAGAGATACAGAGAAATTTATAAATAATTAATGAAAAAAAAAAAATAATTTTTTATATATTAACATGCTCAGTTATTCTTAAAAATTATGAAAAAAAATCGATCGTATATTGTTATATAAAAAGCCTTCCGCATATAATAAAAGACGTTAAATACGGCGCACCTGGAAATATACTGCCTCAATGATACGCTCACTTTGCGTGTCGAGTCGGCCCTTTATTAAGACTCGTTTTGTCACAACGGATTCATAAAATAATGAAAAAAGAAACATAACGTTAACGGAAACCGTATAAGGAACCCCCGCGATTTTTACAAACTATATATACCAAATGTTCTCTCAGCAAATCATCCTTATCGCGACGCACATGCTTTCGTCCACGTTGCACGCATGTCCATCCGTCATAAATAATTAGAGAATCTCCCTCCATGGACCTTGTCTCCGTATCATTTTCCCCAACGTATCTCTCTCGCGCGCGCGCGTGTGTGTATGTGTGTGTGTGTGTGTGTGTGTATGTGTGTGTGTTTCGCATGAATGCGCAATACGCCGCGACATGGAATTTTCGCGAGCAGCAGAGAGGATAGAACCTCCCCTTCTACGCGTCTGGCTACCGGATCCTGGTCGATACGATTCTATTCTCGCGTGATCTGCACCCGATTCGTGCCTCGCCTCGGTTATTAATAGATCCTCGGATTTTTGCATCCCTTAACTCGGCCGACGTCGCGTGGCCGCGCATTAACTCGAGAGTGCGCACTTTTTTCCCTTCCTCCTTTCTTTTTTTTTTTTCTCGACGGGAAAGTCGACGAACGCCGGGATCGCGATGTGGGAAGACAGGCGTGACCAACCAGGCCAGGTGTGTGGAGGGTATTACGGCGCGATACAAGGAAAAAATAAGTCGCGTCGGAATGACGTCACGCGCCGCAAGGGCGTGTGCTCTCCCTGCTGACGTATACGCGTCTTAATCCTTTCTAGCGCGGAGATGACGTATAGCGCAATAATGTTTACTTCGTGCTTTTTTTCTCTTTCACTCTCTGTCTCTCTCTCTCTTTTTTCTTACTCTTTTTCTTTCTCCCTAGGGATCAATTTGGAGCAGTTGAAGCCTGTCGAGCCTCGAGAGTTTACGGAAATAAAATTCTCGTGATTAAAGTCGAGAGACTGCTCTCGAGAACAGTCTAAATGGAACGGCGCGTAACGAGTTTCCAATGACAGCGTTAATAGTTATGAATCTTTTATGATTGCTGTCAAATGAATACTCGTCATCCTTTCATGATTTTATGATAATTATCGATTATCGTATCTCTCTCCAAAATTACACTGTCAATTACTGTCCAATTTACCTGATGGCCTCGATTATCTATGGCTTTATCTTGATAATAATTTTATAATTTTGCATTTGCATTACTAATTGTTTTTGCTATTATCCGCTGTAGTTTGATAGATATCGAAAAGATAACATCGAAAATACAAGGCGTGTAAAAGTCGGGTAAATATATATACGTGAAGAGTATTATAGCATAAAAAAAAAAAGAATTATGAAAAATAATTTCATTAGAAATACTATCATTCTCTTGTATTTTCGATCGTTTGTAAGATAATTTTTATAATCCGTATCTTCGTTCGTTTTTACAGAGAAGAACTATCTGAATCATCAAATAACGGTGGAAGTAGACCTAAAGAAATTTAATGTACCGGCTGAATTCGGATTAAAGACGAGTACCGAGATCAAAGATTCTAAGTTTGATCACTCCGCCAACTTGTATTTACACTCGTCCAAGGACAAGTCTCAGTATTCTTACCAAGTCTACATTCATCCCAAGGAAAGCGGTAAGAAAGCTTCTCTCGCTTCTTTATCAATAACTCTTATTAATTAAATTAATAATAACCAAGTATTAAGCGCGATCGTATTTTAATATGTCAAATATAATCGGTAAAACGAAAAATTAAAACTCGCCTGTTATTTTCTTTTGACAGCTGCCATTTTGACTTTGCCCAACCGCGAATTGGCAGTTATCAGTACATTCGACTTGCCGAAGACGAAGCAAACCGGCGCGTTTAAGGTCGATGTGTCCGTTTACTTGGACAGGAAGAACAAACCGTCCGAGAAGACCGGCCTGGTCGCTGCCGGAGACATTAATATCGGAAAGGAGAGTGGATCCGTCAACGGAGAAGTTAAATTCATTTATCCGTCTCAGCCAAAGGTACATCCCTCTGACGTAAAAATGTAGTCTCGTGTGTTTGCGAACAAAATTTCTAAATCTATTCAGAAATCACATTGGATTAAGTTTGAGAAAAAGAAAAAAATTTAGCTAAAGGGGTATTTTCAATCTCGCTTCCAATTTCCGCGTGAATAGGATCAAAGTCTTGATATAAAAATTAGAAAGAGGCAAAGGGAAAGCGCAATCTAGCAGGAACATCGAGTTTCATAAGCCGAGCCGTTTGGCTATAAAAGAGACGATATGCGTCTTCCGTCAATTTGTCGCCAAGTAGATTAAGCTTTTTCATCCTTACTACACTTTCGCCATTTTAAGCCGAAGCAAATATAAGATTCTCGAGTCACATCGCAATATTTCTGCTGTCGTTAGGATATGGCAGTGAAAGGTAGACTTCACTATGGCGGCCAACTGCTTGACGCGAACGTTGATATCGACGTCTTTGCGAAGAAGACGCAAAAGATCAGCGTAGCGGCAAAACTGAGTCAACAAAATATCGACAAAGGTTACAATTTCACCAGCGTAATCGAAGTGAACAGCCGTGGTCAACAGCTTAAGGTCGACTTGAAGTCGCACACAGTACTGTCGAAAAATACAATCGGTTTTGGTAACATATTAACTTATATGGACTCACATCAGAAAACGAAGAACGTGGGCATCCTGTTCTCCGCGGATTGCAAGAAAACGTATCTTCTTGTGACCGGGCCTAATAAGGAGCTACTTAAAGTCGACGTGAAACTGCAATTAGAGAAAAATTTGCAAAAACTTGATGCCGAAATTGCGGTTGTTGGCAACAAGCCCACCATAATTAATATAGAAGCGAATGATTGGAACAGCTTCAAGTATGTAAAGTACCAGCAAGGTAAGTTGTGCCGAATCAAGCGTTTTGCTCGTTTAAATTGTATCCGCATGGATATATCCGTGAGATTATTATCAGCTATGTGCTTGACCTGCGCGTAAAATCGCAGAGAGTATACTCTATTGTGAATTTATGCGAATTGATATTCCTCAGATAATCCTAGCACGAAGATTAGCGCTAACGGACGCGTTGTGCTCGGACAATTGGCAGAGATTCACGCCGATGCGTACAAGGATGGAGTAAAGAAAAATCTTTTCTACGGTTTAGTCCATCTTGATGAGGAGAAGTTCTTGAAACCTGACTTCAGCTATAACAAGGACAATATCGTCTATGTGATCGTGAGTATATTATCATCGTGCGACATGTGATATGTTAATATTGCTTTATTTACTTTACTGACCATTTTATCTTAGGAACATACTCGAAGCCGAAGCATCGAGCTACTGAAACAGCTGAAAGACGCCTCTATTGAGATAATCAAGGAGCTAGAGCATGAGCTGAAAGATTTTTTGGAACATCTGAAGAAGGCTCAGCCGAATATCAAGCCGCTCTTGGACTACTACGAGACTGAATTGAACAAGCTGAAAAACGAGCTTCACGCTGACCAGACCATCAAAGACATACAGGCTACTTTGTAAGGAAATGATTACGTCTCTCTTGACATATTGCATTATATCATTCAATATTACATAAATTAAATAATACATAATCTTTACATAAATTTGTAAATAATGGAATTTATAGTATGACGTCATAAACTGGCTCTACTTAATACATACGATAATTATTGTACATATTTGTTATGACACATAGTCTCTTACTTGAATTAGTAGAAATCGATAATAATGATGTGTCTGTAAACGTTTTTGTAGGTTGAAGTTTGTAGGTCTTTCGCTGAGTTATCATACTTTGTGCGTATAATATCGATCGTATCCTTTCAGGAACAAGCACTTCGGAACTATCATCACCGCCGTGACGGAAACCTTGAAGCAGATAACCATACGATTGAATGAACTCCAGAAAGAATACAACGAAGTAATCTCCAAACTCCAGGAGGCGTGGGACAAGATTTATCCTCAATTGAGAGAATCCTACGAACGGATAGTCAAAGCCTACATCAGCATTCTCGACAGCCTCGCCAATGTCGCCATATCTTACCTCAAGGCGCTACTCACTCTGATCAACGAGCATCAGAAAGAATTGAAGGAAATAGCGGTTATGGCTTCCGAGCTTGCTCAGGACATCGCTAAAATCGTATTCAAGGCTGTTGGTCAGATCAGAAAAGATGTCGATGAGTTTGCCGTTCTGCTGATCAATCAAGTCAAGGCATTACCAATCTATGACCTCGTGAAGGAACAGTACAAGGATATCATAAACCTCCAAGTGCCGGAGAGCATATTGGCATCTGTCCACGAACTTAGCGAGATCATAAAGTCCATGCTGCCGACCGAGGAACTTCGACAGTTCTTTAGCGCTACTTACGAATATATCATAAAACACGTCAAACACGAAAAGGTAGGATTTCCACCGATCTCTTACATCATTTTGCAGTTTCGATTGATAGCATCCTCCAAACGCGATTTGAATAACAAGGTCATTAAGATAATGAGATGTATTCTGGTCTCGCGCAGGTCGACAATGCCAACGAGATCAAAAAGATCTATCAGCGTGCGCTCGACGCTATCGCGTCCCTCGTCAAGCTTCTAGAATCCAGCGACGTCTTGGAACAACTAGTAAACAGCTTATTGGAAGCTAATCTACCTGTTCAGCTTGAAACGTTGACGAAATTGCCAGTGATTACTTCGGTAAAAGTATCTCTTATCAATCTGTTACGCAACAATGAACTTCCATCCCTTACGGATCTCTACTATGCCTACAGGTATATATTAAACTTCTTTTGATTTATCAAACTTTCTATTTTTATTTTATATTACATATCAAATTTTACTTTATAACGTAATTTTTAACTTTATTTTTCACTGCAAAAAACTTGCATCTCTCTCGAAAATTTATTTATGCCAGAAAGTGACAGATAGACGCACTTTAAAGAGAAAAATTAAATTATTCTGTTCCTCTTTTTTATGATGAATATTCTGCGTTCATTTTTTATAATCAGTTAAAAGCTGGAAGAATATTCAACGTTAAATATAACTATATTAATCCTACTCCTCTATTTCAAACAGGCCCACCCTGCTGCTCTCTGACATCGTGCCTCCCTTCAGTAAAGTTGGTATCGTCGTCGACGGGGGACACTTCTTCACCTTCGACGGCAATCATTTTGGCATAGCCGGCGATTGTACCTATATTTTGGCCCAAGATATGCAGGACGGCAATTTCTCCGTCGTCGCCAACTTCAACAAAGGGAATCTTATTAGTGTGACCGTTACGGAACCTAAAGAGAGCATCACGCTGAAGAACAATGGCAACGTAAATTCATTTCTCTTATCTCTATAAACCAATTTCCTATAGCAGCGGCAAGTTACGTAGGTGAATATGTGACGTGAATCGAGAACGCGCGGGGTGGCAAATGGGGTGCAGAGAGAAAGGGGGAAAAACGGCGGGAGACAGGGAGGGCGAAACCACAGATCGCGCTCATATGGTATTCCGAGTACGAGTCTTATAATACAATCCCGTATTGAACTGTAACTCTGTAAGTTTACCGAGGGGCTCCAAACTTTGCTGACAAGCCAAACTCTATTATCCTCGCGTCGCTTCTCTTATAGACGAACTGAGCGAGGGAGGAATAAAAATTCGCCGTTGTACGTTGCGCGAACAACCTCGTTATTATGAACGCGCAACTTTGACCTGCTCTTTTATTTTATTTCTATTTTTTTATTTTTTTTTATTTTTTTGTAGTTTTTCTTTCCTTTTTTGCACTCATTTTTTTTTTTCATTCGCACAAAATGTTTGGCTCTTCTGCGTTTGCCACTGCAACCTGCAACGCCTCTCTTTTTTCAGATTCTGGTGAATAACAAGCCAGCCGATTTCCCAGCCAACACGAAGAATCTGCACGCGTTCCTCATCACCCCGACCGCACACATCAAGTCCGACTACGGCGTGCACGTCACATGCAGCTACAAACTACCTTTGGTATGCACGGTCCGCGTGTCCGGCTTTTATCACGGAAAATTACGCGGTCTTCTCGGTGATGGCAACAACGAGCCCTATGACGACTACACGTTGCCGTCCGGAAAGGTGAGAGAGTGTGCACAGCTATGTTTTACTGTTAAATAAATAATTTCTCGTGCAGAGGCAAAAATCAAAAAGTTGATTCTAATTGCATCAGATGTAAACGGGCAATATATTTTTTAAAAGAATTTTTGATGAATAAAAATTTCATGAATTATATTTTTCAATTTTCTAAGCGATTGAAAAAGGTTGATTGAAACAAATTTTTCATTAAATCGATTTTCAAGCTGAAAAGAATCTACCCGCATACTATAAAATAATATAAATACATAAATAGCAAGATTAATACATTTTTCAGCTAATTTTATCATAAGAAAAGCTGAAATTGATAGCACATTAATGTAAAAGCTGGAAATGCGATGAAAAATGAATTCGTTATAAATAGTTAACATAATCTGCTTCCTACCTTCGGAAG